TGGGCCCCCCCATCAGGGCCCTTTCCAGGCTCACAGCCCTTCATCCGCATGTCGAGACACCGTAGGGCACCCCCCGTGCGGAGGGAAGGGATCCTCTGAGACAGGGTGGGACCTGCCGTTGGGTTCCTCAGGATCCTCCTCAGCGAAAGGGGAGAGAGATTTATTAGAGCCATCGCAGCAGCTGCTGAGGTCCGCAGGTTCGGGCCCCCCCATCAGGGCCCTTTCCAGGCTCACAGCCCTTCATCCGCATGTCGAGACACCGTAGGGCACCCCCCGTGCGGAGGGAAGGGATCCTCTGAGACAGGGTGGGACCTGCCGTTGGGTTCCTCAGGATCCTCCTCAGCGAAAGGGGAGAGAGATTTATTAGAGCCATCGCAGCAGCTGCTGAGGTCCGCAGGTTCCAGGCCACGACCATGCCTGCGATCAGCAGCCAAGGTTAATGCTTTGTCTCCTAAATACTGCGCTCGTCAGACGGGCTCTGGTTTCTCCGTTTCTTTTCCGCCTGGGCTGGCGGGGTGGTTGGAGGTGGGAGTCCGAACGTATTTTATTAGAGCAGTTTGCGATGCAGGAAATGCATTTGCCTGGTATCAGAACGGAGCCGGACCGTCGGTGTTTTCGAATGGACTCCGTGTGAGGACGTGCGTGTGGTGGCCTGTTCCTGTGTCGCTGGGAGAGGCGGATCGGCAGCTCTAACACACCCGTTTCCTTGTTGCACCTGCTTTTTTCCCCTCTCCTCCTGCCCTCCCGGCCCAAAGCGGCAAATATAACACAGCGGCTTTTCTTTTTTTTCTCACCAGGATTTAAACGGACAAACCAAGGAGCTGCGCCCACGTCTTTGTCACCTTAAGAAAGGGCCCAATGGTTACGGGTTCAACCTCCACAGCGAGAAGTCCCGGCCCGGGCAGTTCATCCGTTCGGTAGATCCAGATTCGCCAGCCTCCAAGGCGGGCCTGCGACCCCAGGACAAGCTTGTGGAGGTACTGGCCGAAGGGTTACCCCGTGTGCAGGGTGGGACTCTCCAGGGGTAGGGTAGTGGGGTGGGTTCTGGATAGGGCTGCTGGGTATCCGGTATTCACCCGGACAGTCCGGTATTTTCACCTCTTACGCGGTAAAAAAATTCAGAGAATTCCGGACACCTGAGATGGCCAGTATTTTCTGAATTTTTCCCCGGCCAGGAAGCGAAAATGCCGGGCACCTGGCAACCCTACAAACACTCAGCGCCCGGCCTCTCCCTCCCACCCCCCGAGTCCCGCCCTGGTCCCCAGTCCCCCAACCCCCATGCTTACCTCTTTCCCCAATGCTGCGGGCACAAAATGGCTGCTGGCCAAAAGACCTTCCCCATGGTTTTAGTGCTCAACCGCTCCCCTGTTCCTATCCCTGCACTCACTCTTAAAGGGGGACATGCTTTTTTCCCCCCTTCAACAGTGGGGTTTTTTTTGGGGGGGACGGCATTTGGTATTTTTGCTTCAACCATCTGGCAACCCTAGTTCTGGAGTGGCATAGAGGAGAGAGCATTTACCTGGGCATGTCCTGCCCCCCGCCCCCATCCTTCAGAGAGTGCCTGTGTTGGCTATCTGCTTGCTCCCAGGGTGGGTGGGGGTTGGGCTTGAGCGTCTCAGGGACTATCGTGGAAGAGGAGGAGTGGGGGGGAGTCCCTGTTCTCTCCCCAAGACGTTGGTCATCACAACCCAAGTGCTTGTCAGGCCCAGTCCCTCTCAAGGTATTTGGGTGCCGAACTCCCATTGTTCTCGGCGCGTACAGCCCCTTGTGGTAACGCTGGGTTGGGAGCAGGCCAGGTTCTCGGCTCCTGCTTTAGAAATATTTCCTGCTGCCCTTTGCCAAAGAGGCAGGTCGGCGGGAAAGGAACTAACCAGCTTCCCGTGTTTTATGAGGCGTAACCCCCCCGTGACACGGTGCCCTTGCTCCGGCCTCCCATGCAGGGAGCTCAGAGTCACGAGAGAATCCTCCGAGGCAGAACAGGGGGTCCCCTTCTGGGCAGACAGAGGCGAGTGGAGGCCCTCGGAGACCCAGTCCAGTGGCTTTCCCATCAGGCTGCCATGCTGCTCTGTGTTATGGAAACCCGGCAAACTTTCCCAGGGCAGAGCAAGTGAAGGAGACGCTTGGGGTGAACAAATTCCTCCTTGCAAGGACGCAGCAGCAGCTGGCTGGCCCGCCCAGGTGCCCCTGCAGAGGGGTTTGACGCTGGGCTCTTTCAGCCAGTGCGGGTGCCTGATTTGGATCAGATGTGCCCCACAGGATTTAGCTCTGCGGTGGATTCAGTGCAGCCAAACTTAATGACGGGTCTGAGGACGATGCTGGTTAGCTAGAACCCTCCGCCGGCCTGGGGTGAGCGATGGGACAGGTGAACTGGCCTTCAGAGTGGCTAGCCAGCAGGGCCCTAGCAACTGTCTTTCAGGCTCGGGGGCAAAGATGGGTCCTGCACCTTGCTCTGATGGTTAACAAACGCAGACCATTGCTTACAAACAGCGGAAGGGAGTTCCAGAGGCCAGCCGGGTGAAGGGGTCAGAATGTGCATCCCATTAGAGCAAAGCATTGTACTCGGTTGTAACCCATGAAGAATACCACTGACGTTAACGGGGACCATTTGTGCACTCCATTCGGCACGTGCCCATTGGCCTTGCTGAATCGGGGCCTGCCTGCAGCCTGAATGTATTAATTGGTGCTGGGTGGGCCTCCGATTATCTGGCGTTTGGGAGAGAGGCAGTGGGGCCGTGAAGACGCGCATGACAAAAGCGAACCCTGCCGGCCCCTTTGTCCCGACACCCGCTCTTCGTCAAGGCCTGGCCACACGCTCTCCTGGCGCCCGAATGTTTAATGCAGATCGCTGCCCGTGTGCCTGGGAGGGGGCACTTTATGGCTGAGCGTTATGTCACCGTGAGGCATTTTATTATTTATTTATCCGCCCCCGACACGCACGAAGAGGCAGGAGGCGACCCGGAGCCTTCAGCAACCTGATCCGCCCGCCGGCGCTTTGGGCTCAAATAAATATTTGATGCAACACAGCTTCCCTGTGCTGTGGAGTTTCACGGGTGAGCCAGGGACTGTGGGCGAAGAGCTGATCCCAGCCTGGAAAAGCAGGGCCTGCAGGGAGCTGAGCTTCAGACGACACCTCCACCTCAGCCGGCCTGCTCCAGGGGGGTTTATTTGCTGGTCCAGATGTTTGTGTAATGGAGGAGGGGGAGTGCCAGGCAGTACCTGGTGTGAACTGAAAAGTCTTGTCAGAGCCTCACCCGGGTAGCCAGGGTTAAAACCATAGAATCCCAGGGCTGGCAGAGACCTCAGGAGACCATCGAGTCCGGCCCCCTGCCCAAGGCAGGACCGACCCCAACTCAATCATCTCAGCCGGGGCTTTGTCAAGCCGGGACTTAAAAACCTCTAGGGATGGAGATTCCACCCCCTCCCTCGGGAACCCAGCCCAGCGCTTCCCCACCCGCCTAGGGAAATCGTTTTTCCTCATCTCCAACCTAGACCTCCCCCACTGCGACTTGAGCCCATTGCTCCTCGTTCTGCCCCCACTGAGAACAGCCTCTCTCTAGCCTCCATGGAACCTCCTTCAGGGCGTTGAAGGCTGCTCTCAAATCCCCCCTCACTCCTCTCTTCTGCAGACTAAACAAACCCAAACCCCTCAGCCTCTCCTCATAGGCCATGTGCTCCAGCCCCCTAGTCATTTTGGTCGCCCTCCGCTGGACCCTCTCCAGTGTGTCCACATCCTTTCGGTAATGGGGGTCCGAGAACGGGACACAATACTCCAGATGTGGCCTCACCAGAGCCGAATAAAGGGGGCCGATCACTTCTCTAGATCAGCTGACAATGCTCCTCCTAATGCACCCCAATATTCCATTCACCTTCTTGGCTACAAGGGCCCCCTGCTGACTCATCTCCAGCTTCTCACCCACTGGAACCCCCAGGTCCTTTTCTGCAGAACTGCTACTTAGCCGGTCTGCCCCCAGCCTGTACCAACGTTTGGGATTCTTCCCTCCCAAGGGCAGGACCCTGCACTTGTCCTTGTTGAACCTCAGCAGATTTTTATTGGCCCACTCCTCCCATTTGTCACTCTGGACCCTCTCCCTGCCCTGCAGCGTATCTACCTCTCCCCTTAGCTTAGTGGCATCCGCACACTTGCTGACAGTGCAACCCATCCCCTCATCCAGGAGCTCCCTGGCCACCATGGAGGATCCAAGGGGCCCTGTCTTAGCCACCCTGGGACCCACAGGCCTGCCTGAGACCTGAATTCTTCCGCAGCAAGAGGTGGGGGGAGGGCAGAAGGGAGCCAGTATTACCAGGCTGTGGGGAGGAGGCGCAAAGTCGAGGTGTGCGTGTGCCTTGGAAGTGTGGCTGTAGGTCGCAGCTGGGCCTGGCCCTGGTACCCCAGCGGGACAGGGTGGTACAGACGGGCTTTTGAGCCAAACCCTCTCACATTTTGGGGGGGAACGGGAGCTAGATTTGTGGAACTTGCTATTCCCTGTGGTTTTCTAGGCCTTTCTTTTCCCCCTGCCCATAGGTGGGGTCTCCAGTCAGGCTCCCCTCACAATGTGATGCAAAGTAACAATGCACCAAGGCTTTGGGTGCCTATTAGGGATGTAATCCTGTAACCGTTTCCACATTAACCAATGAGCATGAGCTTATTGGTTACGGTAATGGTTACATCCTGGCTCCCAGCGGACTGGCTGCCACCTTGTGCTGCTGGCTCTGTATGAGAGCCCGCGGTGCAGGGCAGCAGCCGGCTCCCCGGGAGCAGGACGGCCTGGGAGCTGGTACACACTTGGAGCTGGCAAAAGCCGGTTCCCAGCATGCACCAGCTCCCCGGGAGTAGGACGGCCTGGGAGCCGGTACACACTTGGAGCTGGCAAAAGCCGGCTGCCGGCATGCACCAGCTCCCTGGGAGCGGGGCAGCAGGCTGGAACCGGTGTGAACCAGGAGCGGGATTAAAAGCTGGCTTCCAGCATGCACCGGCTCCCAGGGAGCCGGCTGCCGCCCCGTGCTTCAGGCTCTGCAGTATAAGCCAGCTCCCTGGGAGTCAGTTCCTGGTGCACTGGCTCCCGGCTCCACTCCTGGGGAGCTGGCTACACTGAGGGCTTTGCAGTATAAGCTTTATAGTGCAGAGCCCGCAGTGTGTAACCAGGTAATTGCTACGATTTTTTTTTTAATGGTTACACGGTTACCTAATGAACTGTTTTTTTAACGTCCCCACTGTGTCTGTGTCTGAGACTGGAAGCTTTTTAAATCTCAACCAATAAAACTGGGCCTTTGGGGGAAGACAAGTTTTATCCAACCATATCATAACCTGTCTTGGCTGATACCCTGGTTCTTGTGGTCGCCAATACCTGAATGTTAAGTGTCAGTGAAACCTCCCCCCCACCAAGGCATTTCCCCTCCAGGACTCTGGAGTTAGATCTGCCTCGCTCAAGTCTCCTTGGGTCCATTCAAGGCTCTGCTACTGACTTGGTGTATAATGCTGGGCAAGTCACTTAGCAACTCTTTGCCTCAGTTTCCCTTAGGTGGGGTGGAAGAGAAAATCCATTACTGTTTGTAGAGGGCTTTGAAAGCCTTGTATGAAAAGTTCTCCTGGAGAGTTAACTGCAGTGCTGTGATAGTGTGGGGCTGGGAAGGTGATTCAGGGGGGTCTGCGAGGAATCAGCTGATGTTCTGAAATGACATACGAGTTATCATGTCATACACAAAGATATAATGGATTATAAAGTTATCTAGGCCTTTTAATAGAAGCACAGATACAGTCACTAGTGACCTCTTGGCAGTCAACAATGTCGCCGAGGACTTACGCTCATTCAAAACTCACTGTGGTGCAGCAGCTAGATGTTTGTAGAGCGCTGGATAATTTCGTTGCCAATTGTCTTCGTCGTGCACATTTCCCGTGGCACGATCGACTCTCTCTAGCGTGTTACAGTTAAGACTAAATCAACACATCTGGTTTAAAGTCCCCTGTGCCTTCTTTTTGAGATGCAGAGTGCGAACTGGCTGAGAAGTTGGGGGTTTGTTTGTGTAACGGAAAGAAAAGCCTGCAATTAAAAAATTAGCCCTCACCAGGGTTCATTGAGCGGAAGCAGTGGAGGTAGCTATCCCAATAAGCAATGAGGAGCTTGCAGCCTTAGGATCTTTTCACTCGGGGGACAGAGCCTGTTCACTCGACACCAGGAATAATGCTTCGCAATTACGATTGTTCTTCCTTTGTTGCCTGGAAAAATGAGAAGAATAAGATCTCAGTTCTTTACAGGCCCCAATTAGCACCCAACAAAGGACAACTGTTAATCGGCGCATCAAGTATTAGGAGAGAGAGGCACCGCTCCGTTTAGCCGGGGCCGACACAGGAGCAAATAGGCAATCCTTTTCTCCTGCGTGAGGTCCTTGTCCTGTTTTTAGAGGTGGCCACATGACCGGAGACCTGACTGCAGATTTCCCAGCTGTGGAGGAGGGATGTAAAATTCCATTTTGTCGGTTAACTGGTTATCTACTTATTTGGGGGTGGGGGGAGGGGTAGGCCTGGAGCGGCCTCCCACCCGACGTGGGTGGCGGGCTGCTCCATTCTGTGCCACCGGTTGACCATAATGGGTAAGCATCCCTCGGTGAGGGCGATGCTTACCGACTAACCGTTCACATCCCTACCGTGGAGACCTGGGCATGTGGACAAAAAGGACCAACCAGTGGCTTGGGCTGGGAAGAGGAAGATAATAGCGGGATCCGATAGACTGAGCTTTGGGTCGAACTTTCAAAAGCGATTTAGAACCACAGGTCCTAGTGACGTCCTCTAACTGTCTCAATGCTTAGAAAACCCCTATTGCTAGTTAGCTGAGCATCCAGGAGATTTTTATACACAGAAAGAACAATACTCCTTAGGTGTGGTCTCCTAAGGAAAAGCCCTTTAGAAGTGCCGTAGGCAAGCCGTGGGAGAGTACACAGGAGGGAACCGCAGTGGCCAATGGGGGTACAATAGCTCAAAGGACGTTGTCCATCCTGACGCCAGTGGGTTTAGACGTAGAAGAATTTTAAACGCCCCTGGAAAGCTGCCTGGCTGGGAGGAGATGTGAGATGTCTGGTAGAACAGGCCCATTCAGGATGTGGGTAGAAGGCAGAAGTGACCTGGGAGCTGACGTTAGCTCATGGAAGATGCTTTTGCAGGGACCTTTCTATAACCATCTGAATGCAAGTTCACCAAGCTACTCTCTGGGTACAGTCCTAACCCGCCCGTGCTCAAGGCAACACCTAGGGCGAACTTGGTAGGAAATGGGGGGGGCTAGCAATAGAAGAGCTGTTATCTCTTATGTCCCCTATCTTCAGACCCACAAGGAGGGAGTGTCCCCTCGTGCTGGGGGAGCTGATTGTGGGTGCTTGGGGGCCAGGAATTGGAGAAGCAGTATAACTCCTGGGGGGAGAATACAGGCGTGGAGTCCTTCCAGCTGGTGAGGTGAGGTTCCAGATGCGGTTGTGTGCCCCACCCAGCGTTTTACAAACAGAGGCTCGCATTTGGCACAGAGGCTGGTCCGTAAGCTAAAAGCTGCCGAGGGAGTATGGCGCTCGAGTGTCTGTCGCTTTAAGGGTGCTGGTTTTTGCACTGGTGTGCGGTGTGATCTGCCCAGAAGCACTCAGCTGCTCCGTTGTGCCCTTGCAGGTGAATGGGATCAACGTGGAAGGCATGAAGCACTCCGAGGTGGTGTCCAACATCAAGTCGAAGGAGAACGAAGCCAAGCTCCTAGTGGTAGATCCCGAAACAGACGAATACTTCAAGAAACTGGGGGTAATCCCCATGGAGGAGCACATCAAAGGTCCTCCCCAGGTGACTGTACCCTGCTCCCCACAGCTGTTCTGAGCTTTGGGTCAAACTTTCAAAAACGATTTAGAACCACAGGACCTAGTGACGTCACCTAATGCTTAGAAAAGCCCCTATTGCTAGTTAGCTGAACATCCATGAGATTTTTATACACAGAAAGAACAATACTTTCCAGGTGATCCAAATATTTCTAAACAATTGAGAGTTAACCCGTGGGACTCCTTGCCCCAAGATCTTGTTGAGACAAACTTAGGTAGGATTCAGAAGAGGAGGAGGCACTGATATGAATAATGAGCATAACTAGTTAGGGTAAATGTTTGAGAGATCAGTCCTCCTGCTCCAGGACATAAGATGAACACTAGCTGCCTGAGGCTAGGAAGAAACCTCCATTACTAGATTATTACACAGTGGTCTTGGCATTTCTTTCACTTTCCTCTGAAGCATCTGACGCTATCACAGTGAGTAAACCATGGGTTTGATCCAACCATGAGAGTTCCTAAGACCCAAAGGCAACGTGTCCCATATCTGAGAGAGACATAAGAATGGCCAGACGAGGTCAGACTAACGGTCCATCTAGCCCAGTGTTCTGTCTGCCGACAGTGGCCAATGCCAGGTGCCCCAGAGGGACCAAACAACAGGGAATCATCAAGTGATCCCTCTTCTGTCATCCATTCCCAGCCTCTCACAAACAGAGGCTAAGGACACTATTCCTGCTTATCCTCCATGAATTTATTTAGATTTTTTGAACCCTGTTAAAGTCCTGGCCTTCACAACATCCTCTGGCAAGGAGTTCCACAGGTTGACTGGTGCACTGCATGAAGAAAAGCTTCCTTTGGTTTGTTTTAAACCTGCTACCTATTCATTTCATTTGGTGACCCCTAGTTCTTATATTATGGGAGGGTCAGAGAAGTCTGGAAAGGGACAAGAGTCAGAGTGGTACCTGCAGGTTACTCCACTGTTGTCCTAAGGTGCATTTTCTTTTATTTACAATGTCTGGATTTGGACACCAGAGGAAAAAGGCGTAAAGATCCTTCCCCTTCTCATAGCCTTCAGAAAGCATGTGGCCAAACACACAAGCGAAGGAAGACATGTCACATGACGGCACCAGATCTGATAATCGATGCCATAAATATTTATCCTTGCTGTGGAGAACTGGCAGAGAACGCTGCCTCGCTAGTCTTTGCTCTGTGGCGCTGCAGTCTCCTGTGCTGGGAGAAATCTCTGCATTCCACCCAGCACATATTTCCCTCCTTGCTGGCTGGCTGAATGGGGAGCTCTGTTTTTCAACACAGCTGTTTCTTATCTAAACTGAGCTCTGGCACGGGCTTTCCCTGGGCTCTTTCAAGTATTCAGTGGCGAGAGCTGTCCAAAAATCAGGTCGAACAATTCTTCGAGCCAGCTGGGGGCGGGACGGCGGTGTCAGATGCTCCGCATTCAAAACTTGGAACAAGCCGGAGATGATGCGGACGAGCCCCTGCTCTTGGCACGGGTGAGAATGGAACTCTTGTCCTCCGCGCGAGATGGAGCGAGTGTTACTGAGCTACGCAGCATGTTCACTGGCCTCGTTGAGCGCCGTGTCCTGCCATCGAGGCTCCGACTGCAGCTCGAGAGGGTCGTTTATCCCCTCTGCCTTTGCAGAGTTCATGTTCACTGGGGACCAGGCCCGTGTGGTCGCTAATAGAAGCACAGATGAAAACACTCAACAAAGCAACCGCCCGAGATCTTAAATTAGGATTTTTGTTCAAAATCGCCCTGGCTTTCGCTGACTGCTCAGACTTGGCAGGACCACAGGGCCTCCCCCAAAGCCTGGTCCACCCTGTCATAGATGCCCCAAAGAGGTTTCTCTCCTCTCCCACGTTGTGACATTTCCAAGGTGACAATTACAGCAAAGACTATCGCTTGGGTAGGCATAAGAACGGTCGTACTGGGTCAGACCAAAGGTCCATCCAGCCCAGTATCCTGTCTGCCCACAGTGGCCAGCACCAGGTGCCCCGGAGGGGGTGGACCGAAGACAATGATCAAGCAATTTGTCTCATACCATCCATCTCCAGCCTCTGACAAATAGAGGCCAGGGACATCATTCCTACCCCCTGGCTAATAGCCTTTTATGGACCTAACCTCCATGAATGTATCTAGCTTCTCTTTAAACTGTTATAGTTCTAGCCTTCACAGCCTCCTCTGGCAAGGAGTTCCACAGGTTGACTACATGCTGTGTGAAGAACTTTCGCTTATTAGTTTTAAACCTGCTCCCCATTAATTTCATTTGGTGTCCTTTAGCCCTTATATTATGGGAACTAATGAAGAACTTTTCTTTATTCACCTTCTCCACACCACTCATGATTTTATCGACCTCTATCATATCCCCCCTCAGTCTCCTCTTTTCCAAACTGAAAAGTCGCAGTCGCTTTAACCTCTCCTCATATGGGACCCGTTCCAAACCCCTGATCACTTTAGTTGCCCTTTTCTGAACCCTTTCCAAGGCCAAAATATCTTTTTTGAGGTGAGGAGACCACATCTGTACACAGTATTCAAGGATTCGGAGCCAAGCAAGGTGGGGCTTTTTGCAGAATGGCTAGATGTTGCATTTGACGCTATTTCACCCCCAAATAACCCACCAAGTGACTTTTTTGTTGATGGGGAATGAAAGCAAAGGACACAAGGGGGAATGAAAACCGAGCTGGGTTGCAGGAGAGAAACCCAAGGGAACGGGTATGTTTTTTTTGGGGCTCATCATCCACTCGGGCTGGAAGTCTGGTTGTGATTGCAGGAGAAGATAGAGGGAGGGCTTCGGTCCATTAGCCCTAGAAATGGTAAAGGCATGTAAGAGTCCCTGGAGTGGGGGTGCTGGAGGAGGATCTGTCTGACACGGGCTAGTCTCTTGTTAACCGTATTTACCGGGGCTTCACTTTGCTTGGTCTACAGGTGGGGTGCCTCAGCCTATTACCAACGGGTCTGCACAAACCCAGGTGAGTGTATCATTGGCATCCTGTTCTTATGAAGCAACGAGCCTTGTCTCGATGGAAGAAGCGGAACAGGGCGCCCAGCTATTTTGAGAGGCCATGTCAGCATCTCAGTTCACCTCGTTTTGGGGCGACACCGTGTCCTCAAAGCAGGGGAGTTGGCGTCACCGCTTCTGGGTTCTCCTCCCAGCTTTGCCTCTGACTCACCTTGTGATCTGCAGCAGGAGGACTCTGTGCCTCAGTTTACCCAGAGGGGATGGCCACTCCCTCGGTGTGTGTTCTGAGTAGGGACGTAAAAACCTGTTTAAAAAGCGAAGCAGGATCCCAGGGCTGGGGGTGTTCTGGCCAGACCGCTGGTTAACTGGTTACCCCGCATGGTGATTGCTTACTGGGTAACCGTTTAATCCTTTACAACCCTAGTTCTGAGGCTTATTTAGTTTACATTAATTAACATATTGAATTTGATTGCTTTCCTCTGTGGCTTTTAATTCAAGGCTGGCTTCAAAACAAGGTTGGCTTCTCTGCTACAGGTTGGGCCTCTCTGGTCCAGGGTGAGAGGTTTTGCAGACCGGGGAGATCCTGGCCCTCCTGCTCCCCCTTCCCCCCAGCCCCACTGCCCTGCCAGCCCCCCTCATTCCCTGCTAAGTCCTGAAGCCCAGTTCCCTGTGCACCAGGCTCCTGGCTCCACCGGGTTGTCCTTAGCAGCCCAGCCGCAGGGAACCCAGCCACCAGCTTTCCACTGGGACTCTTTGGTCCTGGAACATCCGTGATGTTTCTGGACCAGGGAGTGCCGGTTAACAGAGGTTCGACCTGTATTTAATTACCTGCATGGAGCAGGAGTTGCTAAATGAGAGTGGTGGCGACAGGCCAGGCTCTGTTCTGGGGTAAGTGGGAAGCTCTCCTGCTTGTAGCCAGACCCTGCCCCCACCAGGTCTGTGAAATTTGCTGTTAAACACTAGTCTGATTTTTGTCACTTGAATTTACACTCCCCCGCTCCCCCCTTCAGTCTCTTTGTTTTGCAGCCAGCCATGTGTTTACATTATTCGCCACAGGGCAGAATTGGCTCTTATCTTATCTGACGAGGCTGTAAACGCCACAGGGTATTTTTAATCTCACTTTATGCAGCATGCACGACCCATAAAATGTACTTGTTAACATTTCCATTTCCAATAGCTGAACGGAGGATCCATGTCTTCATCCCATAGCGATCTCCAAAGTCCTGAGAAGGAATCAGAGGTAAAAATACATTTTTCACCTTTTTCTCATAGCCTCCTTTTCATAATCGCCTTTCAAACAGATTTGGGTCTAATTATATTCTACTTCTCTGCATTCACCTGGCACTTAGAAAACAAGCTTCTCCTCATGTCCTGCCCCAAGTTAGCATGTAGTGGTGTTGTGAGCTGTTAAACACCTTCTAGGTTCCCACCCAGAGGTGGCTGCATGTCTGTGACGGGTGAGCAATCTCTGTGGAGTTTCTGAAGTAGCTCTGGGATCCCATGGGATGAAAGGTGTTGGGGCAATTCAGGATGATGTTTGTTACAAAACTGTAAATAAAGGGGGGCAGGGAAATCAACTGAAAACTAACGAAAAAAAACCCAAGGCCACAAGGAAAACATTTAATTACATGCAAGGGGCGGGGAGAAAGGGAGAAACAAAAAACCACAATGTTCCCCGTTGCTTGTGCTTCTGCTTTAAGCTATGCAGAAGCTAAAATGTGCAGGGTTTGATGAACTGGAGTTGAAAAGGACTACTGAGAGGCTCGGATTACTTCTGTCTCTTGTGAGAGAACCACAGAGTCTGTGTGCTGAAGTCCAAATTGTGCATTCTTTCCACTCGTTGTCAGGGGTACAGGAAAGCTTCCTGGTTTCATGCGGCCTCTGCCAGAGGCAGCAGATGTCCCGTGTTAATACAGACTAGTTTTGCAAGGATTCCGATGTGCCATCGTGCTGCTTATTTGTTTACCGACATAGGCCCCGGTCCCGTAAAGATCCACGCATGCGCTTTGTGCCTGCGAAGTTAGTAGGCTAGGCATGATGTGTGACGTTAGGCACAACCGCTCAGAGGAGCAGGGGAGCATTGTTGTACAGCGGTATTTGGACTTCTCAGCTTGTCTAGTCCAGTGAAGGACACACAGAAACCAGGAGTTTTAGGAAGCACAATACAGAAACAAGACTTTCAGTAACCAAAATGTCACGTCGTGCTGTAGCTTATATTATTCCACACCCAAATAGGGAAATAGATGGATTAGAGGTAAACGTGGGTCTAAAACAAGGGACAGGTTAGAAGCAGAATAACAACTGAGGGAGCTAGTCGGTAACCTATTGAAAGTGCTCATTGGTATTGTTACATTAGCCTGGGATAAGGTCTAAGCTAATTTTTGGCCTTAAATATAATCACATTCAATGCAGTTGCATGAAAGACTTTCAAAAGAATCTAACAGCCATAGACATGGATCATGAATTTAATAAATGAGTACCAATTTCAGAACTTAAAAAAAAAATAAAATAAACAGTTCTTGACCTGTTGAAAAGCTAGACTTTGTAGCATTCTACTAGGGCATGAGAAACAGACGAGGTCTGTGAAATTGACCGCTCTTTAATTATTCCATGTGAATAAAAAGTTAAAAGCAAACACATGGCTTAAAAGGAGAAAGGAAAAGACTAGTAAAATTAGAAGCATTATAAATCTAATTTAGTGAGTGGTTGGTAGAAGTGATTGTTAAACGTTTTGAGTTGTGGCCTTTAATTTTCATTCTTGTTATGCTTTGAAAACCCCTGATTTTGAAGTGACCTGATGCTGGGCATCTCTGATTTTTGCTCCAAACTGAACCATCTTTTAAAGCCCCAAATTTCAGAAAATACTAAGCACTCACCCACTGAAATCAGGTCTCTTTCAGGTGTTATAAGTTTAAAAACTACAAGCAGCCTCTGGTGCCTAAGGGTATGTCTACACTTGCTCCCTATCTCGAGAGATAGGCATGCAAATGTAGTATACCAAAATTGCTAATGAAGCGTGGGATTTAAATATCCCATGCTTAATTAGCATAATCGTGCACCATTTTGAAATTGTGTTATTGTGAAATAAAACGCCCCGTGTAGCAGCGTTATTTCGAGAGAGAACCCTTCTCTCGAAATAACTGTTATTCCTCATTGTATGGGGAAACCCTTCTCTCGAAATAACACTGCTACATGGGGCGTTTTATTTCGCAATAATGCAATTTCAAAATGGTGTCCAGATGCGATTATGCTAATTAAGCACGGGATATTTAAATCCTGTGCTTCATTAGCAATTTTGGTACACTACATTTGCATCCCTATCTCGAGCAAGTGTAGGTATACCCTTAGAGATGAACGCATGTATATAGCAAGAGTTTTCATTGTTAAAATCCACTTCATCAGATGAGTTATAAACTGAATGTCAAAAAATGTAGGCACTCAAAATAAATCCCTTTGAAAAAAAATCATGAACAAAGTCTTCTACTGTGTATGCTAAAGTTAGGCCTCTAAATTCATATTTAGGCGCTACACAAAATGCCCTGATTTTGAGAGACTGAAGTCAAGTAACAAGTGATGATCTGTACCCTTGAAATCCAGCAATTTCCATCCAGGTGTTTAACTTAGACTTAGATACATCCGTGTGAAAAATATGGCCGGTTTCTCTATTGAACTGCGCCTCTTGCAATTCATTGCTTCTAGCAGTGCAAGTGAGTACAAAATAAACCACTCCGCTCTGGTGTAAAGGACTTCACAAGGCAATGAAGCATCAGGCTTTCTAGCCCAGTTTTCCACGGAAGAACTTCATGCGTTTGACAGCCTTGAAAGTGCGAATATCTTGCCAACATTTGAACGTCGCTTTGTCACCCTGTTCCAAGTGCTGTTCTCACAAAAACCCACTCCTTGTCAATGTGATTACCGAAGCAGCAAGCTTTAAACGAGGCTCCCTATACAGCCTGTCTGTTACACGAGCTTTCTAACTAAAGAAGTCCTTGAAGCAAAGATACTCCAATGCTCTGCCAGTGCCAGTTAATAGACTTTGCGTTCCAATTAAATAATCTTTGTGCTTTGCATGAAGATGGAAATGCAGTAATGCAATTTAAGGCCTGCAGTAAAATCTCTCTTTAGAATTCTAATAGATGTTTAGCTGAAAGCACTTCATCCTGCGTATTAATTGTTCCTTAAGGATTTGAAGTCCAGCTTTTGCCCGTTACGGAAATAGGAGGGTTGAGATGAATTTACAGGCCATGGAGGTTTTGCTCAGAGTTTACTGAGGTGGTAGACATCAGTAGTGTGAGTGTGGGGAAGGGAAGCTATGATTCAAGTTGCATACAAGATGCATTGGACCCAGCTAGGGATGTTAAATATTGGTTAATTGACTAGTCGATTTACCGCAGGAATTTGTATCAGTTCCTATAGTCCCCAGGGGTGGGGCTGGCAGCCAGTGCACTTGGCCCCACTCCTGAAGAGCCCCCTGCCACGCCATGCTGCTGCCTCTGTATCAGAGGCAGCCATGTGGGGTGGGAGGGGGGGGGCAGGCTGTGCGGGGAGGCAGGTTTTTAACTGCCTTCTGCTCAC